AATTGGAAGTACTTGCTTCTCTCCTCCAACAGTATGTTCATAGTAGTGTCCAAAACAAAAAAACAAACAGAACAAAATAACCTACCAAAAAACAACCAATCAGTTGCCACCTTTCATGACAAAGTTTCAAATTATCTCATTAAAAAACCATGCCATGTAAAGAGAAAATAAGGTGCTTGACAGTTACTTATGAGCACTCGTGATTCCGTTTTCCTATAAAACAGTAAATGGCATTACCATTATTTAAATTAGAAATAAAATTCAAACCAAAAATTAATCTTTTATGAATGTTTTTTTTTATGGATGTTTCGGGAAAATACAACAACAACAATCACAGTTACCTATCTTCCTCTGTTGCTGTCTTTGTACCCATGTGGCTCTGGATCCCTAGCATGTGCATGTACCCTGATCCCAGGCTTTAAACCTAACTGGCCTGCATTGTTGGCCACCTGCCCTCCTTTTTTAAGTCCTATTTCTCATCCTGTATTGGGTAGAATTTTAAAGAATGTTTACTGGTTTCTGGTTCATAGAAAAAACTTAAACAACTATGTAACTTATTTCCTTTTTATTATCTACTTTTAACCAGCATCCATGTCTAGAAGTAAACAGAGCAGAACTTCAAATTGCAGAAGTTATAGTATGTGAAGTAACAAACTGAGCATACTTGTAGGGAGAAAAGGCATGGCCCCTATAAATAGAAGGTATGACACTACATACTATTTATTGTGCTCAGTGAATAGTATTACTTCTTACCACTCTTTTCAGTTTAACAACTTCCCATGATACCTTTACATACAGCTTGAAATTTAAATGCAGGCTGTCAATTGTTCCACAAAGCCTAAACCAAATAAGGCTCAATAGAATTGAGAACTAAATAAAGTTTGCTTTATTTATTAAAAAAGGTAATTAAGGCCTCAGGGATATCATCTTAGCAGATAATTATTCCAGTATAAGAACACTAATGCACTATTAATGTCATATCAGGGTTTGGGTGCCATCTTTTTTAACAAATGAAGGATAATAATAGAAACATTCAAGCTTGAAAGATCAAAACATTTTCTTTCTAAGTTCTTTGTAATTGGAGGAAGAAAATCTTGACATAATACTATTATTCTTTTAAACAAATAACGTGCATTATTCTATAAAATACTTACAAGAATGTTTTTATTTGTTATTGCTGTTGTGGTGGTTTAACCCCAGATGGCAACTAAGTACCATGCAGCCAACTGGTCACACACACACAAATTTGGTGGGATAGGGAAGAGGATAAGAAAGAAGCTAAAAGCCCCAGGATGAGATAAGAACAGTTACAGAATTGAAATAAAATAAAATAATAAAATAAATAAAAACCTAATAAAAATAAAATAATAAACCAAAACAAAATAAAAATAATACAATTGTAATGAAAAGGGAGACAATAACAAAGCTAGAAATAGAAACAAAAAAAACCCCAAGTGATGCGCTATACCATTGCTCAACACTGAGTGATGCCTAGCCCACTCCTCAGCAGTGATTGGCTCCTTCTGTACAACTCTCCTGAGCTTATATACTGGGAATGGTGTTCTATGGTATGGAATATTCCTTTGGCCAGTTTGGGTCAGCTGTCCTGTCTCCCAGGTGCTTGTGAACCTGCTTGCTGGCAGAGCATGGGAAACTGAGAAGACATCGACTTAGGGTGCAACAACTAAACTATCAGTGTGTCAACATCATTTTCATGCTAAATCCAAAATACTGCATGCTCCAGTTTCTAGGAAGAGAACTAACTCTGTTCCATTCAAAACCAGGCAGTTGTTTTATTTTTGTTACAACGTTTCATAAAACATTTTCAATAATAAGTCACCTACTAGAGGCTATAACTACACTTACTAAAAGTTTACTCTCATCTGAGAGTCAACATAAAATGACAGCTAACAAAATGATTAAAAGAATACTTATTCTGTCCCATCATATCAGTATGGAGCCCAGAATAAAGGCCAGAACAAGCCTTTTAAAGAAAACACGAGAAGAAAACCTGACAGGTAACACCTTCCTTTGGAAACTAAGGTAATTGAATAGAATCAAAGATTGTGCCATGACACAGGGAGTTGTGTAAATAGCAGTCTAATTCAGACTGCCTGAGACTCTTGTATAATTCCTCTTTGCCCAGGTCGTGGAATGTCTTAGATGGCATAGCTGAAAAATAATTTTTATATCCACTGCACATGATGCAAACTCTTGTGTTATTCAGCCATTGTACTGGGTTGAAACATAGTTGATTATATTTGGGTTTTTGTTGGCAAGGGAAAACAAAAAAAACATAACTTTTTTCTTGTTTACCATTAGCAGATTATCAAATTACAGTTTGCAATAACTAACTGATAGAATATATCTAAATGTGCCGTAGGAATTACAATTTTTAAATTCTTTCTCCCTCTTATTAACAAAAATGGAACTAGCAACATACCTCTTTTTTCTCTGTGAACTTCTTCCAAAAGTTTTTCTTGGTTTTTTATCTGCTTAAACAGAGACTGATGCTCAGTCTCCTTCATCTGTGTAAAGTGCTTGAGCTGTTCTCGGCTTTGCAGTAAGTAGCACCGCAGCTTTTTTTCCTTACTTTCTCTCTCCTTTACCTCCTCACACAGCCACTGAAGCTTAGTCTACATTAAAAAAATGGGACAATAAAAAGTAAAGAATTCTAATGAAAATAAGAGGACACAACTGTTCACTGGTCAAATTATCTTTGGAGTCAAAGAATAGTAATCTGTACCTGCTACTGCATAATAATAACAATAGAAGGGGACATTCAGATATAGTATGAGAACATATGTTGACCTTCAATAGTATCAAATGACATATTTTGGTTGATAATTGTATGTGAAAAAGCAATACAACAATTTTCTTTTATATGATTTTATTTCTTTTTAAATCAGAAGCATGAATTTCCTAGTGTAGATATGGAAATTCCAACTGAATTAGTGCACTCATACACACCTGGAGGTACTCCTTCCTTTCAGAATACCTTTCTCTCTGTATTCCATGTTGACAGAATTTAAAGCATTTATCCATTTAAAAAAAGTGACATCAATCCTTTCTGGTCAGTAAAAGTTAGTATTTGAGGTTCACACAGAAGTGAAAAATAAGAGCTCATTGACAAGGTCACGATCAATATAGTATATCTAGAAATGATCAAATGGAATACATTTACACTGCCTATTTAAAAACAAAAGAAAATAAAAGTAGAATTTTAAGTAGTCATTCATTCTAGACTTTCCTCTAGCAGCTAAAGAAACTTAGGTGAGAAACATATGCAAATGATTTTAGGTCCTCTTTGAAAGTTCTTTTTAATAATATGTCAGTGTCACTTTTTCAAAGGAAGAAAATACTTCTTGCGTAACCTTTCTCCTTCAAATCTAATCTTATGTCTACTATCTAGTGGTAGTCTTTCTTGGTCTACAAGTATTACACAATAACCTTAAATTCTCTTACATGAAAACATTTACAATTTTTTTCCTTAGGTTAATTCTCCTGTGGCTTTGACCTTCTTATATGAAGCAGTTAAAAAAAAAAAAAGTTGAAGCTGTCTTCCACAGTTTCTTGTGATCTACTTTGATCTTGGAACACTTATTTCTTTTAAAAGACATTGGATAAGAAATATGTTTATGTGAGAGTTGGGGGAGCTGGAGGAAAGTTGCAAAATGAAAGGCAAGATTTATGAGTTACCAGTCATCATCTTGAAGATCTTTTCAAGCACGTGTGCACACCTTATAGGATTCAGAAGATTCAAACAAAGAGGAAAGGAAAATAGTTCATTTCCCAGGAACCCAACCTAATATCTTTTAGGTTTATTAATAACAGCCTTATTTAAAATAATTTCTGGCCTTTTGATAATGCTGCAAGAGAAACTTAACCTGCTGAATACATTCTCATGTTTTCTTTGTCTGAAAATAATTGAACCAGATCTAAAGGCTATCACTACAGTTACTTCAATGCTTTTTTTTTTTTTTTTTTTTTTGTGAAAACAACATTGTTATTTATTTTGCTATAGAGACAGCTATTTCTTGTTGATAGAAAAATTTGGAAAATTATTCCATCAGTTGAAAAAACAGTCTGGAAACATTAGAATTATCACCAAAAGATTTTGTATTTTCCCTTTTACCCTTTAAATGCCTTTTCAAACACACTTTCAGCTGAATCAGATCCATCCATTCACAGACTCATGCACTCACTCAGTTGTTAGGGTTGAAAAGAACCTTAATGATCATCTAGTTCCAACCCCCTGACATGTGCAGGGACACCTCCCACTGCTTCAGGCTGCATAACTGTTGGGTATTAGCTTATTAGGTAAAATTACCTTTGTTTCTGCTAACCAGCGATGAGGATCATTCAGAACTGTTGGTGTAAGTGATATTGCCTATGGAAAAGAATGAGAGAAAGAAATAGACATAAAAATGAGAATTAGACACAGAAAGGAGTGTTTTCTGCTTACTGGAAATTAATCAAACAAATAACTTTCTGTCAGGGAAGATTAAGCCTAGCGTTTAACCTCTTTGAATACAAGTATTTATCCATCAGATCCCTCACTGCTTACCTCAGTTGCAGGGCCAACTTCTTGAAGTAAAGAACTTGTGTGAAACCTTAGAAACCTTGCCAATATCTACTGTATTGAGCACAGGAAAATACAGCAAAGGAAGCTTCTTACCCTCTTCTTCTTCAAAAAAAATCATACCAGGAACCTCAAAACTGTTTAACATTTGTTTTCACATTAGCTGTCTAGTCAAAAATTCAGATTCAAAACTGGCTTAAGTTTGCCAGTGGTCAAAAGTTAAAGGGAATGGTATCAAGAAGAATCTGTAAGACTTTATCCAGAAGCCAAAGACTCTGTAGGAGGTGGGAAGCAAGTCCAAGAAGGCATGGTTCAATGATCAAGAATCTGGCAAGTATAGCAGATGACAAAGATTTAATAAAAAAAAAAGACTTATCTGTAAGGATACAGAAGAGAAAGCTTGTTTATCAAATAAATTTTCTTAGAATTCTCATCTTTTTTTGTGGTGCAATATCCCAGTTCCATAGGTAAGTGGAGAAATGGTGTCAATGGTGAAAAATTCCTATTTGAAAAGCAGCCCAGCCCAGTCAAGTGACCAGCAACTACAAAGTATTCTCTCTTTAAACAGCAAGACAGAAAAAGATGTAATCTGTGTGTACTCTCAAAAAAGCGCCAGATCAAGCGCTTGTGAATGTCCAAAATGCTACTGAGTATGGTGACAGGCTGAGTCACGCTCTATTTTCTTTATTCTCAGCAATGTACAATGTTGATTTAAGAGGATTAGCCATATAAAATCATATAGAGGGAGGAAGAGTGGTTTCTGTACCCGGGGAGCAAACCAGAATGGTTAGGAGAAAAGCTAGAGGGAGACAGGGGTTGCAGAAGAAGTAATAAAATAGTGAAGAAAAGGTTACAGCAAGCTACCAGTTTCCTGAAGATTTGAGTCAGTTTTCTGGATACAAGGACCTGCTCCCCAAAAGAGGAGATTATAAATTCTTTTCATTTCCACCATTTACTTCTCTACTTAAAAAACAAAGCATCTAAATCAATTTTAACAAAACTTTTCTCTCATTTTCCCCCAATTTTAAAAGCATTTTAGGTTTTCCCTGGGGACTTCCCAACTCTAGGAACATGGCCTTGGAAAACCTGCCTCAAAACTCTGGGTGATGTAAGGTCCTTTCACCAAAGCAAAAGCAGAACTATTAAAAAAAAAATTGCAAAAGAAAGCAGTACTAGTAATACGTGAACAGATCTTCCTAGAATCCCATTCTAATACCTAGCAATGTCACTCTGAACCAGCTAAATATCCATCCATCCATACACACATACATAAATTATCTATACAGTTAAGTGATAAGTAACAACTACGAATACAAGTTCTACTACAAATTTCATTAAGAAAATAATAAAGTCTGCAGCATACTTAAAACTTAGAATTACTTTGAATTTTTCCACGGAGTCCCGAGAAAAAACTTCACAAGCAGAATCAATTTCACTTCCTATCATGGAGAGGATGGATTGCTGTTCCATTTCTAAGTGACGCAGCTGATCCTTAAACTGCAGTCTGGTCTCACTCATCTTTCTCAAATGATCTTCCTCATTGCTGATCTGTTTTTCCTGGAGTGAAAAAGAAAGAACAAAACAAAGAGAAATTACTGCATTAGTAACATAACACGCATAATTAGCAATATATCTTTCAATCTTATAATCACAATATACTCACTCATGCAAAGGTCAATTGCTTGCCATGGAAAAACA